CCATTTCATTTACACCAATAATATCAGTTGTTAATATTATACAGCTTAAACCGTACCAGTTATAACCGGTTTAGCACACGTCCATTTCATAGCATAGTGAACACACTTTCTAAAGACAGAATGTATGAATAATTAGATTTACCCACGAATGGCATATTTGATTAATTGTATTTCTTGTGTTGCATCATAATGGACAGCTGGAGGGGTAGGGGGCAGCTGATGTCAACAGCTATGTTTGGATGCACTCAAAATTATTTAGAGAAGTATGACTATGATGTGTGTATCTGATTCTATTTTTGATTAAATGGATTGTGGCAGTTTACATGTGTATTCTAATGTGGTGGTGCAGTGTGCAGATTTAGTATTAGTATAAATTTTTCTCGCATCATATTAAGTTGGACAGAACTGTGTTATCGAATTCATCACAACAACCACCATCCTTTCTCTAGTTGGATGGGACATCACAGTCCACTTTAGTTACTTCTCTCAAAATAAAACTGCATAATTGTTTACATATTTCTTTTCTTTTATGTAGCATATACATGAGACACTATGTCAGTTTGGTCCGAATTTATGGTGAAATTATAGGGAAAATATGTAAAAATGTGCCAAATGCAATTTTTTGGGGGAATATTAAGGTTCAATTTTATATTTTGTGACTTCATGAAAATTGGAGATGATTAATTTAAGTCAGAAGAAAATGTAAAAGAGAAATAATCCTGTTTCTTCTACAATCAAATTTGCACTCACTCCTACTGCTCTAAATTCTATTTATATTCTAGTGCGGTAAATCTATATAGTACCTTTACATTTGCCACAAGTCAGTACCGGTATTTCTGGTTCCAAGGGGATATTTTTCAAAATAGCAAACAAAATATTTTGAACACCAACAATTTTTCATACTATTTACATTTTCATTTACTTTTCTATTTGTTTATTTTTTAACCAAATAGAGATAATTTCTAATTAGCTTCAGAACTCAATCAAAATTGTTGAAAAAAAAATCAAGCTTTTTTTTTTTTTTTGAAAGGTGGCAAATGTCGACTTTAGTGCTCGAAAGGGTGAGTCTGTAGGAGACAACAACAACTGAGAATGTCAAGTTATATCAGAATGATTATTGTAATTTTGTAAACTGTAGCGTAAGTGACATTGACATTCATTTTTTATTTCGTATAAATACTTACTAGGGTGGTACAGTTGCAATCCTGGCTGCAATGGAAAGGCCGGATCAGTTTACGGGTATGGTTCTTGTAGCGCCTGCTGTAGTGGAAAATCCAGAAACAGCCACAACATGTAAGGTGAGAGCATTATCAAGCAATGAAAAGTATAGTAGTCTGTCCTTCTCCTCGTTGTCGTCGTCGTTGTTGACCATCTTCAAACTTGGATATATATTACTCATACATATAAAATCTTACTCAAGTTTGATTAGTGTGTGTTGCTAATGTATATTTCACAAGATACCACTCAAAATTTTGAAATAAATTTAGACAATTGAATGCCAGGACCCAGGTTCATTTCTCAAGTTTCAAACTAAAATGTATTTATATCTTTTTTTTATTTGGTTACAATTCTTTGGCTGTAAAAATGTTTGTTTTTTTTTTTGTTTTTTTTTGCAAATCTCAGTTTACTGGTTATTTCTTTCCATCATTATTTTAATTTGTATAACATACAAAAAAATATATATATCTGACTTCTGCTAATTTAAAATTTCACTGAGAAATATTGGTTCCTCACTGAGAAAAATGTTTTAAGGATATTGTGAAGATAGGGAACAGGTCTTCAGACACTCATTGGGATATTTACATAATACACTCATATTATTAAATTATTAAATGTAGGATATAAAATTTTTAAAATCTCATACACTCCATATATAAAAAATAAAAATAAAAAAAAAACATATAAGAAGAAATGACAAATAGGTTCAATACACTAGAGTTGCTGTAATGTATTCATAAGTTTACGATACAGAACGTAAAACACAAAAATATGTGTCAGATCCTATTGAAATGTTCAGTAAAATGAGTATAGAGTTTAGAAACATGCTTCATCTAAAGGCTACAAATATAGGAATGCTGCAGGATACAAATGTACCACCAGCACTACAATCTCCGGATCTGTCCTGGAATACACAACATGCATTATTATACGCAACACAAAGATCTATTATAATACATGTAATACTTTTGTCTGTTATGTATTTGTCATCATTAATTACTCTGGAATGCATTAGAAAAATTAATATCACTTGATGATTTCTATGTATTGTAATGTAAAGCTTTTATTTTACAGGTGTTTATGGCCAGGATATTGGCGTATTTAGCCCCACAATTTGAAATTGGAAAAATTGAACCAAAATATATTAGTAGGGACCCGAAAGAGGTATTGATATACAAGGTTTTAATATTTGATATACTATGGGGTTATCACAGGAATACCACAAAGTAACCACAATGACAGTAAATAAGACAATTGTTTGGACCAGCACATAGTGGGGATTGATGCGATTCCATACCGCTTGAGTGCATACTTTGCAGTATTCTCATGATAATCTAATACATCTTTTCCTGCTTCTAGAAATAATATGAGGTTATCGCGAGAATATCACAAAGCATGTACTCAGGCAGTACAGTAAACAGATTGACCAATGTGTAGCGGAGGTCAATACAACCTGTACCGCCTAAGTGCATACTTTGCGGTATTCTTGTGATAACCTTATTATTATACTTTTTTTTCTCTGTTTATTGTTCTGTAATTTTTTAATAGGTGATAATAGCCAAAAATGTCACCAAAAAGGTTTTTTTGCATTGTGTGAACATTTGCGTTCAGTGATGCTATTCTATTTTTATTACGATTTTCTGCGTTTGTTAAAAACAAAGACAGTCTTTGAATGTGATGTCAATAACCTTGACTTTGTGTAAAGTTGATGACATAGTTTATCACATATAAAGGTCCATTTGAACAAGCTAGTGCAGATACGTTTTGGGACAAATGTAGATATTGCTTTTGACGAGGCAGTAATGTTTATCGCTTTCAGCGCTAGATGTATATGACTTATTTCAAATACAAAAATAGGACTATCTACTCTGATTTACCGGTATATCTGCATTGTGAAATAAATTTTGTGACCTTTAACCCAACATTGATTTTTACAAATCATATTTATACATGTGTAGATGTATGTGTGAAGGTGAGTGAAACTATACCGTATATTGTACACCTAGTGGATACATGTAGGTCAAGCGCATATGTAAATGGGTTCCCATCAAACAACTTACGTGAATTAATTGTATTAATTTGAAATGCTAAGATTCACCATCAAGTATATATATCTTTACGCAGGTGGAGCGTTATGCAACGGATCCTCTTGTTTGGCATAGGGGAATGAAAGCCAGGTGGTCAGTACAGACTTTAGAAGCCTTGAAACAACTCCAGGAGAATATGTCCGAGATTAAGGTGCCATTCTTGGTGATGCAGGGAGATAAAGACGTCCTCGTAGAAAGTGTAGGTGCAACATTACTGATGGAAAGGGCCCAGAGCAAGGATAAACAAGCGCAGGTTGGTAATGCTCTGTTGTGCTGAGTGATTCAAATACTGTGTTTGCTCTATTTGTAAGCACATCTTCAATAGAAGCTAGCACATGTGAACTAACTGTTGCATGTATTGTATACTTGATCATTAAAAATATAATTCAATTTGAGCTTTTGCCTTTTAGTAAGCACATGCGTTAACTAATAGAGCCAATACAGTACCAGTACTATGAACACGATCTTTTTTTATTGGGGTTTAATTTTGTTATTTTCACTGATAAGCAAAATCGGCTAGAACTTTTTCTTTCACAATTAATCCATAAAATTACAACTTACTGAATATCAAAACTATAGAAATTGAATCCCAGTAAAAATAATTTTCAAATCAGTTTCTGGAGTTTGTATAATTGATAGAATCGTTAATTTAGAATTAGAATTAGAGAATTAGAGAAGTTATAATTTAGTTAAGGCAGAGAAAAAAATAATTTTTCATGTTTCAATTAGTTGCATCACAGTTTTTTCCAAAAATTTGTTGTCAGACATTTATGACATTATGACAAACAGAAAGTCAGATAATAAACAAAAACAAAAAAAGCTTATTCAGAGAGTGTTTTTACTGTGTGTTATATGTTGAATGCATGCCAAACACATATCAGTACTATATATTTTATTGTCTTAATTTGAGTCCATTATTCAAATGATACTTTTTGACTTCATGGTGAGACACTTTGATCATCTGAATTGTTCAAAGCAAAATGTACGGCTTTGCACATACACAATAACCTTGTTTTAAAACATCAACTTAGGGGGACTGATTGGTAAAATGAAGAGAAACACACAGATGACCAGCTGGCTACAATAATTGAAAATTGACAACTAACTGTGGCTATATTGGTGAAATTTTTTGTTTTCCTACAATTAAATTGTGAAAGTCTGTCCATGTCATCTGTTGTTCTTCTGAACCCTTCTTCTCTAAGTTATATAGAATGAAAATTATGATTGCAAATTTTAACTTTTGTGGAAAAAGAAACGCACTGAAATTTGAACATTTGTGAACTACTATCCCAGAAGTCACTGTTCTACATTTATACAATTAGATAAAAAATTCTCCATAAGAACTTTTAAATAAATATACATCGTATTAGAATGAAACTATGAATTAAATGAGAATTACAGTAAGTCATTTTCCGTAATATAAATGTATGACATTCAGAGCTAAAAATATCATTTTGCCTTTTGTGTGTAAAGCGCAAAAGCTGGGTAATATCAAACCGATGTTCGAGTATTTCAAATCTTATTCTGTCAATATCTTGAGAACCACTGGGTGGATTGGAAAAAAAATTGATAAATAGATATTTTGTGATAAACTCCATAGGGTTTGCTTAAATGAATTAAAACTTGGTACACACATACTATTTTGTTAAATAAATATCAAACGTATGTTAATTAGCTAATTTGCATACTAACTAATTAGTTTTATATTTCCGTTAACGTCTTAAATTAGCATGCTCTAATGGGATACAACTTGGTACAGTCAAGCTATTTTTGTAGTTGAACAACTGATAATATTTTGACATCCATCTTTGCATTTTAATTAGCTAATTTGCATACTAATTTTTGAATCACAGTGAGCAATTATGAGGCAATGATGAGGCAGAGTTGTTTTTATATTGAATTCACTTATACCGAAGCATTTTTTAGAATTTCAAGTTTACTTGGGAGCCTGCATAAGTGATCTACCTTATTAAAAAAATGGTATCCACATGTTAATGTTGGGTAGACATTACATGTTTGCAGACCATGCAGATAAAACACCAAATCACTTCGTAGATATCTGTCTCTACTTTGTTTATTTTAGTATATCAATGGATAAAATCAAATCCATATGACCTACTACATGTAATTGATTCACCGTCTCAAAATTTTGCCAAATGAAGCTGGATTTTTCCTTCCCTTTTTTTACATTGCAAAATTATTTCTCAAATTATTACGATCACTTCCATAATTTGCCTCAGGGCTTTTAGAGGAGCTATTTATCACTCTCCTGTAATTTTCAAAATGCATAGCTTGAATTGGAATTCCGACATTTATAACATTAAATCAGTGCACTCTATAAATCTCTGGTTATTGGAGCACTATTAAAAAGTGCTAGCAAATGTAATCATTAAAAATTGAACCTTAAAACTAGTACGTATGTGCTACAATTTGCTCAAATTCAGACAGTTAATATTTCACTTAATAAACCCAGTAACACTATAAATAGGAACTCTTAAGAGTGAAATTATAATGTTACTGCATATCTAATTTTAAATATATTGATGTAGCGTTAGCATAAAATGGTTTCCCCTTGTACTATTTGAACAGTTGCTGCGATTTAATGCAAAAATGGATTATCCTTTTGTTGTTAATAGTTATTGTTAGGATATTATTATTATTATTTTAATATTTGGTGGCCATGCATGATAGATTATGAATTCATATTTAAATTTATTCAATAAAAACTGAACGCATAGCTACCTATCTAGTTGCATTGTGAAAAATCAATTATACTTAAGTACATGTAATAGAAACAAAATAATAAATATGTCCTCTCATGTTTTATTGATGTGAGAACACTCATTGAAATTAGGGCCACATAAATTCAATTTTGCGTTTGCCATGACACCTGTCAACAAATATTTTTAAAATATATATTTGATTTGCAACGGAATGGGACAATTTTAAATTAAAATATTTATCAACCAAACTACTTGTTAACCTCTAACGTTCATTAACCAATCGTAGTGGATGTAAATGTATTAACTCGTAAATATCACGTGCTCACTGACTGTGTTGTCAGTCACAACAGTGATGTACAAAAGACCTTACCTACTGTAAAATACTTTATTTTAGCTGGAAATAATGGGTGTTATGTATGGAAATTAATTTTCACTGATTTTTGCTGAATTGAATGTAAAATTTAGGAAATATATATTTCACTGGATTTGTTTTCACTGAATCATTCCTTCAATGGAAATACCGGGGGTAACGAAAATAAAGTATTCTACAGTACTCTGAATAATTTTGTTTTCTTTTTTTTTAACTTGAAAACAAATCTACATGACTGCCATTTATTGAATGTATGTTTGTTTGGTATTAGTTTACACCATTACAGAGTCTATTTTTGTACTCTTGCATAAATTATTGTCATTGCATGGTAGTACTTTGCATAATGTATTCACATCCAAGTGCTGGTTCTTTTTTATGTGGCATAACACTCACCTACATATGGCTTCGAGCTGTTTCCCTAAGTAATGAACATCATGCATAGTAAAATTAAACCAATTGTTACTAGGACTTCTACAATGACAGAGTGGAATTCATTTAAGTTCACCATCCATCTCTTATGCATCTACATGTGTATCAGTTTTGTAGATATAAAAAAGACAACATTCAAAACCAAAAACATTGACAAATAAAACAAACATTGATACCAAAAAACAAAATAATTGTGTTTTTTTGTTTTTTTTATTTGATAAATGGGGAAATAGTCTTTGAATGATTCTTACCTATGTTAACTGAGACTCAGTGATAATTCCTTTTTAATAACTTGACACAATGTGTTTTTGTTTGTACATAATAACATTATGATAAATAACATTTGATAATGCAAGAGCATAAATAGTTATATTCTCGGAATGTTAAATAATTCAATTTTGTTTGCTCATACACATGAAATTATATTTTCTGGATTGGCGTCATCTCATTCTGTGTGTATTTGTTAAATTCATTCATTGTGTAGTGATGTTAAATGAGTTTATAACACACACTCTCATAGTGATGTTAAATGAGTTTATAACACACACTCTCATAGTGATGTTAAATGAGTTTATAACACACACTCTCATAATACAAAATTCAGTGAGGTGGAAAATGAATTATTTGTTGTGGCAATCTGATTAAAATAAGATCCTAGTTTAGGTTATTTTTTCTTTTTTTAATATTCTTTTAGTTAGTTATTTTTATCATAAGCTTACTTTTATTTTATTTTATTTGAATTTATTATTTATCTGCTGACATTTTTTTTAAAGTTTTGGTATTCACAAAAGACTATATGTAATCAAAATAAAAAAATTACAAAATAATAAAAATATAGTAAAAATGAAAATAAAATATAATTAAATTCATGCCATATAATACATTAGATTTTAATCAGATTGTTGTTGTTATTGTTGTTGTTGTAAATGAAAAAGAGTCATTGACTTTATGTATTGTAATTTTTACAGATTTATCCTGGGTACTATCATGCTCTACAATTTGAACCACCGCAAGATGCGGCAATTGTGCTGCGAGACCTGACGTCTTGGATTGTGACAAGGATGAAACAGGCTCCATAGAAATCAGCGACCACTCATTACTATGACGACTAACAATAACAAATTTAATCTTCTACATCAGCAGCTGATGTCTCAGTACCTCAACGAGAATTGCAATACAAATGCTGGAATGCGATTGGTTGTCACGTATGATTAAATCCAGCAACATGATTGGTTGAAGTACATTATTTGGTAACAACAAATTTGTAGTAGTGGTGATTGAATATTATTGGTTATTGATGTGTCACATGACTGATTGATTGAAGCATCATGATTGGCTATGCAGTCACTATGCAGAAAAATTAAAAAACACATTTTCTTTACTTGTTAAAACTGAGAAACGTTTAGGTATTAAACACCATTTGGTGATATTCGCTACAGATAGCATTGACAAATACATCTAATAATCCCAGGTTGCCACTTCGGGATACTGAGACAACATATAATCTCTATTGAATAAGCTTGCAGCTGAAATATATTTGAAAAAATTGAGTAGTTTTTACAATGAATAGTAACAAAATTACAAACAAAATAAAATATTTGACATTAAATTTTATAAATTTGAATTCAACTTGTGTTTGAATGGAAAACATAGACTGTACATTAATTATTCCATCAGGAATTAAATACATTTGGAATATTTTATACCTATTTACATGTATGTTTTCACAGAAAAGATTGTGAAGTAAAACAAAAGGGAAAGAAAAAAATATCCCAAATAGGTCAATAAATATTTATTCAAAAACAAACAATAATTTTGTTGTTCTTGTTGCTCTAATTTTTTTCTAAACTTGAAATTGACATATTTTTGACATACTTTTGAACATCTAAGGATTTTGCCAAAACAAATATGCAATATGTGTATGTAAATAAACCAATGTATTATCTGAATCCACTGCTGAGAAGAACATATTAAAAAGTGAATTTTTTTTTTTTAATTATATCTTTGTAAGGGTTATTCAGTTTTGATAATTTCTCATTATATAATGAGTATTTTAGTAATCGTATATCATAATATACCAATATATAGTTTTTTCTAGATATCTTAATTAATACTGGTTGATTTCATAACAAAAATTATGTTAAAAAATTATTATTTACTGTATGGGTTTTGTAGATATATTTATGGATGATTTTTATTGATGACTTCAAGGATTGTAAATTTTATAAATGAGACTATTTCCATCTATGTTTGAAAAGAATAATCTTAATGTAGCTGTTTACCAAAACGTCCGACCAGAAAAAAATGACTTGTGACCTTTTAGTGGTGAATATACTAGCTTATTGCAAATTGATTAATATATTTTGGTGAAAAAGTGATTTTAGCTTTTTTAAATGTCGATAAAGACCTGTTTCTCAATAGAAAAAGTGGTTATGGTTGGTGAGATGAGATTAGAAGGGGTTTGTTCCCCATCCTTAAGTTGGAATTACGAGTCAGATGTAAGCATTTAGTGACTAATTTCAAAGTCAATTTGGTGACAGATTTTGATGTGATTTTTGTGACACATTTTGACATCAGAAATATACAGAAATGTAAATTATTATACGTAATCTATGATACAAAAATAAACGAAAAAGGAGAATTGAATTAGAGAACTGATTCCAAATCAAACTCAAATAATTGCAGTAGTCATGCACATATAAATTAGTTATTTATTAAAAAAAAACACAAAAAAACAAAAAAGTCCTTAAATTCATATATAAAGGGACTGTACATTTTTTCTTCACATTTTACAACGTATCAGAAATTGTCATTATCGTTATTATATGTTTGATTGGATGGCAGATGTGCTGTTTCCTGATTCTTTATGGATCCCATGAGCAGTTTGACAGAAGTCATTCGTACTAAAAAAAAGCCTGATTGATGCCATCACTAAGTAGCTAGCTATCTAAGTAGATGCCTTTAATGTGCGGGTCTAACCCACCTTTTGTTTGAATTGATACATGACTTTTGTTTTCTTATCAATTTTGATTACGGTATTTTTGCAATGATTAAATTTTTCCAATCTGTGTGAAAACGTTCACAAAATAATGAAAAAAAAAAGATGTAACATATAGCAATGCCACTAAGTATTATGACTTTAATTTTCTTGTTGTATCTCAGGGGGTATTTATGATAAGGGGAGTTCTATATTAGGCATTATGAAGGGTTTATATTTCAATAATGCTCTGTCTTTGTATCCGAGCTGTAAATACTTCATTTGACAGTTATAAGTTTGTCTGTTTGTTTTTTTTTTAACTTTTTTCTTTTATTCGATGAGACAAGTATGGGGAGAATTTGGGTTCCACTTTTTTCTCACATCACATTTTCTCAGGTACATTTTAATTTCATAAAAGTGAGTTCAGATATTGTGGGGTATTGATAAATGTGAACAGGTCCTTTGGGTTGGAGCGGGACACCCATAAACGTGTTCAAGACCCCTTGGGGGGGTGAGCTATCATGAAT